ATTTTTTTTTATAAAGAAACTGTAATTTAATTTTGTACAAAGAAAATTGTAAATAAATTTGTAATAAAATTGAACTTCATCGATGAAACTTTAATAAAGCCTTTTTTTTTTTTTTTTTTTTTTTTTTTTTTTTTTTGAATGTGACTGAACTCAAAACTGAATGCTCAAGCTGCCTACGTACCCTTCCAAAGAAAAAGATCAAGTCAAAACGTAGTTCAAATGAGTGATGAATTTAACAGTGATTTTGATAATGATTTCGCCGTACACAGTTTATGCTCTTGCGGGCTAGGAGCGTTGGTGTTGCATTTTATGCTCGTGCAGACCAGGAGCTTTGGTGCCATTTGCAGTTTCAGCTCATGCAGGCAAGAAGTGTTTGGTGTTGCCTTTCATGCTCGTGCAGACCAGGAGCTTTGTGCCATGCAGTTTAGGCTCGTGCAGACCAGGAGCCTCGTGTCCTACAGTTTAGGCTCGTGTGGACAAAGAGCTTTGGTTCGTGCAGTTTAGGCTCATGCGAACAAGGAGCAATTGTGGTTCGTCAAGCGATCCGGGAGAGTTGTTCCTCGCAATCTTCATAGCAATGAGCCTTGACTGAGTAGTTGAAGAAGTCTTATGGGAAGATGTCACACATCGTGATGGGGATGGATGATCTTTGTATCAAAGTTTCATTATCTCCAACACTTTCACATTGTTCTGGAGGTTGGCGAAAGCTGCTTTGCCCCCTTTCTGATTGGTGCACTTGTGAAGAAGACATATGCTTCTTGTGCAGTTTCTTCGGAGTGACATGAATCCATCATTCAATTTCGCTTGGCTTGACTGGCATGGTTTTGGAGCATGCCCCCAGCGATTGAGGTGATGATTTTGAGTTGACAGAGCCGGAAGTGACGTCTTCTTCCGAGATTTTGTCTTCTTTGTCTTTTTGGGCCTTTTCTTCAGTGCGGTCCTTTTGGGTTTGTTGGCGTGAAGATTGGCTGGTGTAGATGATGGTGCGCCTCCTTACCTTTAGTGGTCCTTTTGTGTCGACTTCTAAAGTTGCTTGGCGCTTCATCCTTGAAGGAATCAAGCTTTGAACATCGTCTTTTCCTGCTAGACTGTCGAGCTTTTCTCCCTTTGGTGTTGTCTTTCTGTTTCTAGAAGACTTCTTAGTTTCTTCAAGTCTGTCCGCAGCCGACTGTTGCGGGGAAGATCTAGTTGTGCCGCTTTGTTTCTTGGGTTTTAATAACCTTTCAAAGACAGATCTTTGCGGTGTTGGCGTATTAAGCCTTTTGAAGACGGAAGTTCGGTATCGACCACTGATGCGATCAAGTGCCGAAATTCTAGGTTTTGAATGATTCAGCCTGTCAAAGACTAAAGTTCGAGGGACGGGTTTAGGCTCCTCTTTTGGCCTTGTGGCTTGTGGTCTTGGCTTCCTTGTTTTTTTGTAGGTCCCTGATGTCCACCTTTCCTTATTACCGGTAAATGCATCTTGGTTGCTTGCCCTCGGTGATGGTTGTGTAGGAAGTACCGTGTGACTTGAACATTGACGGGAATGGTCATGCATGCTTCGGAGAGGCACATGATCGAGTGATCCAAACACAATAGTAGTAGTGTGTACCGCAACCGTGTCTTCGAGGTCAAGTTCGATTTTCCCTTGTTGTGCTAGCTTCAGGATGAGATCTTTCAGTACGAAGCATTTTTCCGTTGGATGACTGATGAAGCGATGGAATTTACAGTACCTTGGACTGTCGGTGCGATTCATCTCTTCTGGCCGTCTGCATTCAGGCAAACTGATCACCTTCTTTTCCAGCAAGTCTTCTAACATAGCAACCACATCAGAGTCAGGGAATGGATAAGTCTTCTCCTCAAGCTCCTTCAAAGTGCGTCTACGCATCTCTTGATCACAAAAAGCTTTGGCTTAAATCGCATTGCCTCGTGTAGGGATTTTGACAGGAGCTGTGTTGACTGTCATTGCTTCCTTGGTGGATTTCCACGTAGTCTTCTCCACCTTTGTCTCAAGAACTTTGTCGTTCTTGTAGTCAGCGATCAGTTCATTTTTCCTATGATAGGCGATGCTTAACTCCATGTCATGGGCGCGGGTGGCTAGCTCTTCGAAGGTCGGTGGTTTGATGCCTTGAAGGATGTATTGCAAACCTCATTGCATGCCTTGGATGCACATCTCGATTGAAGAGGTTTTCGAGAGCCTGTCTTTACAGTCGAGGCTTAGAGTGCGCCATCTGTTGATGTAGTCAATGACTGGCTCGTCTTTCCACTGCTTTGTGCTCGTCAGTTCTAGCATGCTTACAGTGCGGCGGGTGCTGTAGAAGCGGTTGAGGAATTCCCGCTCCAATTGCTCCCAGCTGTTGATGGACTCAGGCTCTAGGTCCGTGTATCACTCAAAGGCGTTTCCTTTCAGCGAGCGCACAAACTGCTTGGCGAGGTAGTCCCCTTCGGTCCCTGCGTTGTTGAAAGTTTCAACAAAGTGGGCAACGTGCTGTTTCAGGTTTCCCTTTCCATCGAATTGCATGAACTTTGGCGGTTGATAACCCCTCGGTATCCTTAAGGCGTCAATCTTCTTTGAATACGGCTTCGAGTACAACCCGGAGGTATTTGAGCTCCCTTCGTACTGTGCCTTGATAGTGTTGGTGATCATCTCCTGCAGCTGCTGGATAGAAAGAGATCCCATGAGTGCCGCTGCTTGGTCTGGCTCCGGCTTCACGTCGATTCTCTCCACCGGAGGCTCATCTTCTTCGCCAGCTCATCTTTTTTATGGATCATCTTCTGGTTTGGGGTTTTCGCCGTCCTGTGGCTCTAGTCGGCTGACGAGTGCAGCGATTTGCAAGTCTTTTTCTTCCACAATCTGTGTTAGCCTTGCAATCGCTTCATTCATTTGAGCTAGTTGTTCTTCGATGGAGGTAACGCCGATAGTCATGACTTGTCCAATAGACGTGACTTTCCTTTAGACATCCAGGATGCTGACGAAGAACGTCGTTGGCTGCTTTTGGACGTCATCTTGTGTGCCTCAGCATCATGCTTCGGTGCCCCCAGCGAGGTCAGGTTGATGACGGACTCGCGTCTTTGATGCTCCCCTTGCTCCTTTAGCGGCACCAACTTTGAAGTGGCATGTTGAGGAGTGGTTGTGGCGCCAATGGATGCTCCGTTCATGGCGGAAGTGCTCAGGCTTCTTCCCTTTGTGAGAACGGCTTGTCCTTTGCTTGATGCCATTGATTTTGGAAGTGTGCTTGATTTTCTTGAACGGAGAAAGAGGTGAGAGGCAGAGATGGTCCCACCGGGCGTGCCAATTTGTGAACACGAAAATTTCCTGAAACGAAAAAGACAAGAACAACGTGCACAAACAAATATTTGTATTTGATGATTTTGGGTTACAATCTCTCTCTATTTTGATCATCTGATTCGATTTCCGTAAGGTGTTGATTTGTGGATGTTTCGTTGATCCAAGGGCCGTCGAGGCTTGATTTTGGAGGAACTGTTGGAAGTTTCTTCAAGGGCCGTGGGCTTGATCTTTGAAGGTGGATTTGAGCGAATCTTCAAGGAGCCGTTGGGGCTTGATCTTGAGGATGAGTGTTTCTTCAAGGGCCGTTGAGGCTTGATCTTGAATAACGGTGATGAGCGGATCTTCAAGGGCTTTTGGGCTTGATCTTGAATAACAGTGATGAACGGATCTTTCAAGGGCTTTTGGGCTTGATCTTGAAGAATAGTGATGAACGGATCTTCAAGGGCTTTTGGGCTTGATCTTGAAGAACGGTGGCTTGTTGATCCAAGGGCCGTCGGGGCTTGATCTTGGAAGAACGAAGAACACTTTCTTCAAGGGCCGTCGGGGCTTGATCTTGAATTGGTATCCTGATTGTTGATCCAAAGGGCCGTTGGGGCTTGATCTTGGAAGAACGAAGAACACTTTCTTCAAGGGCTGTCGGGGCTTGATCTTGAATTGGTGGATGATTGTTGATCCAAAGGGCCGTTGGGGCTTGATCTTAGGATGAACGATGAACGAAGAACGAAGAACGAAGAGAGCTTTCTTGATTCTTCGGGAACCTGAATGCTTGAGAGCTTCGGAGTTTCAGAGCTTCAGAGCTTCAAGAATTTTGCCTAATGATTTTGGTCATTCTAAATGAATGAATTAGCCTTCTATTTATAGAAATTTCCAAGGCCTAATTTTGAATATAATATTCCAGATGAAATCAGTCGTTTCTGCCAGGTGTTGACACGTGTCCTGTTTGATGACTTTTCCAACTTATTTTGATTTTTTGTTTAGACACATGCTACGTGTAAAATTTATGTAATACATGAGCGTTGAAACTTTGATTTATCGGTCAACATTTATTTACCGAAATTTCGATGTCTACAGTGATATCTAATGAATTGAAGAATATCAAATGACATAAATTAACATGGGGTGAATGGGAGGTCAAAAAACACAAATGCTAAGGAGACTCCTTGCCACCTCATATTTTTGTACAATGTTTTATAGTGTTGGCACGGAAATTAATGTTAAACTGTGAGGTGGGAGAGAGTTTCACTTTGAAAGAGTCTCTTAGTATATCTTAGTAAAAAATGGTGTGTGGATAACATCACCCTTATATATATCTGTTAAGTCCTTTGTTTTTTTGAAAGTGGATAAATTTTTTATTGTGACGGGAATATAGGTGGTACACCACGTGTTTTGATGTAACTAGTGAGAAATTTTATTTTTTAAGTTATTAATTTTTTAACACATATATCCCACAATTTGTATAATAACACGTGATGTATCACCTCGTATGCCGATCACACTGAAAAATCTCTCGCAAAAGTGAGACAAAATAAACTTTGGGCAATACAACGAACTTTTTGGTGGGCCAAAACCATAACACCTTATTAGTTAATGAATGACCTAACTGATAGACTAAACAATGTATGAAAGGAATAAAACAATCAATGTTTAGCAGTTTAGGTACAAAAGTGAGACAAAAAAAAAAAAAAACAGAAGAAGAAGGGTACAAAAAGTCGAAAATTGAAAAGTTTTAGGGTAGGAAAATCGAGAATCAACGTCGCATAAACAAAAGAACTAGCCAAGGTAAGCTAACATGAGACATGAAATGAAAGTTTAGACAAAAATTTGATTCAATTACAAAACAAAAGGGAAAGTGATATTTTAGGGTGGTGATGAATCATTTTCGTAACTGTCTGCTACCAAAAATCGAAACAACAATAGGGGCAAATGGCAATCTTGTTAATATACTTTCCTCGTTGGAGTACTCCTCATTCATTGGGCGGAAATCGAATATTAGGGTTTGAATCTATCTTAATCCTCACCCAGTATCTCACTACAAAGTCCTCATCTATCGAATCCGTTACGGTGAAGTACGCGTTCTATCCAAATCATCACATGTTACCCTACCCTCAGCTAACCCTAGGATTCCCCAGCTGACTAAATTATAACATGCGAGTCACAACTAATATAAAGAGGAAGAAAAATAATGCAGCAATAAAACCTACAACATTGGTGTCCACCTTGTTCTCCTCAGCAACAACCACACAACGCAAAGCATATGTGTCTGAAATTTCAGTACTGTTGTTTACCTGATCAGCAATATTGCTGTCACTTTTCATGAATTCGGGACTTGCAGAAATTGTTACTTCTGGTGATGCTTCAAGTTCATGCTTTTCTCCCTCCAATTCATGAACATTGTTGTAATTTTTGGTTGAATCCATCGCCATTGTTCCAGACGTCCGATCAGCTGACTTTGGAGTTGAATGATCACGAGACGTTGATTTGACTGAATCGCTGAACGAGACCCTCCTAACCCTAGATAAACTTGGCGCCTTGGAGGATGGAGAAGAAGAGTTGGTTGTGCTGCTCTCACCTCCGTTTCTTAACATGGAAGCCTTCACCGGAACCATCGACGTCGAAAACCTCCGAATAAGGTCTCTCTTGCTTGGAAGGGCACTTGAGTAATCCATGTCCTCCTCCTTCTCCTTCCTTCTTCTTCTTCTTCTTCTTCCTCCCCACGTCTTAATACTCTGCATGAAACCAGACTTCTTAATCTTATTACTTTGGCTGCTTGAAGAGCTGCCAATGGTGGTTGTCTCGGTTATTTCATCGCTCAAACTAGTAGATGAAGTGTGAGATGAAGGGCTGAGATCATGTTTTGAAGTGTCCGGTGATGGGCTGCTGTGGATTAGGGTTTCGAATCGCAAGCAAGCGTAGAGCCACCTCTGGTACACAAGTTGTTCCACCATGTCAAATCTGTTTTTCTGCAGTTTTTCGACTTGTCTCGAGAGGCCCTCATTGGTGTGTTTCAACTTGCTTACTTCTTCTTCAGCCTTGGCAATGGTTCCACTCTGCAACAAAAACAGAGCAACTCTGTGTCTCATTGATAATTGGATTAATTTTTTTAATTACTTGAAACACTAGATGGAAAAGTTAAAACGTCTTTTTTACCAACTAAATGCGCTTTTAACAAAATTGACAGAAAAACTTAAAAGTAATTATCAATGGTAAAAGCCCTCTTTTTGAAGAATCACTTAGAGAAAAACACTCTAGTAAAACGCTCATGAGCTAAATTCTTCCTACATAAGTAGTCCTAAACGGAACCTAAAGGTGGACTATCATTTAGAAGAAAAAGGAAAAATCCACGTGCAACTGTTATGGTTTTGACAATTATTTATTTTGAAATTCAATCAGAAATTTCAACATTTTTCTAATGAAAATACTAGCAAAAACGCTTATAAGCATGAATGCTTCCTACAAAAGTAGTCACCTACAAAATCTTAAAAATACATTATCATTTTGAAGAAAGAAGGAAAACCCTTAAAGCAATAGTTATGGTGGTTGGGTTTTTTTTCTTCTTTTGTAATTTGATTACTTAAGTGTTCTCACTAACGTTAACAATGGTCAGATGGACTGTAAACTAAATAAGTAAAGAATTATATGTACCTCATTCATGCTAGACAAAGTAGTGATTCTGGTTTGTGCACAAACCAATTTGACTGCCAATTCCCTCTTTTCTAGCTCAAGCTCTTTGTTCCTCCTCTTCATCTTCAATACTTCCAACTCAACATTTTTCACACCTTTCAGCTTCATCTCAACTAGTTCATCTCTAATACACATTTCATCCTTGGGAAAACTAGAAACTTGTTCTCCCACCACCAACAACCTCCCCTTCACGTCATTCTTGCCGGAATATTCCATCCTCCTTTGCATTTCAGCTATCATTTTCTTCGCCGCGTCTAGCTGCTTCTTCACCAAACCACACTGCTTCACATCTTCCATAAGAACCTTCCTCTCAGCCTGCAAAGAAGCAATGGAGGCGTTGAGCATGTCAATCTCCATCGCCTTTTCGTCTAGATTCCTTTGCAATTGAGTCATGTATGATTGCTCTTCTTTTAGAACACATAATTCCATCAATTTTCTTTCAATTCTCAGATTCCTCTGCTGCAATTCCCTCACTAGATTTTGCAACAGCTCTATCTCTTTCACACTCTTGTGACTCTTCAACCGTTCACGGTAATAATTTCACCCGCCTCCTCATCTTCCATCTCTCCCTCTCTCTCCTGCTGGTGGAAGTTTGAATCATCTTTCTCTGCAGTACAAGAAACCAACACCAATCACTAAAAAGTTGATCATGAATTGTGTTATTGTCATGCATTTTAACTTTTTTTATTCACTAAAAAGTTTAGGAGGAAGGGAGGCTATCCCATCTCTGGGCCAGGGCAAGGGGAGACTATCCAATCTAAGGGTCATGACATACTACAAGATTCTTTGAGGACTTACATAGAGAGTCTTAGCCTATTTTTTGGTTTTTACAGATTGCCCACCAAGAGGAATTGCAGGCAACAGAACTCAAATCTAGGCTTGGGTCTAGCCAAGATAGCCATCCTTACCAACTCAAGTAACCATTGTTGACTCATGCATTTTAACTCTGTTATATATCAGTATGTGATCGACTTAGAATACCATAATAACTTGTCGAGTTTCAACACAAGTTTTCCCCTTATGTCAACACCAATCAACTCTCCATCTTTACACCAATTAATTTGTTGGTCCCATGGTGTTTAGCAGGTAGCAGAAGATTAGATCAGATCGGTTCAAAAATAGTATAAGACAAGTAGGATATTTTGCTACTCTTCGATGGATTGGGAAGTGATGAGGGACTAAAAAGGGATCACTAGCCTTGGTGGTCCACAAATAAATAATTAAGGGGCACCACATTGTAGATAGACCTAAAAATCCATTTATCCTATTTGGTCAAGATTTTTGCATATAATCATAAAGTAGGATGTTGACTATTAAATAATTTTACCTCGCTTTAAAAGTAAAATCTCACCTCAAGAATCACGAAAAAAAATTAACATTTTATTTTCAACTCAATTTTAAAGTTTAAAGTTTTAACTTTTCATTTTTCACTTTCCACCCACCACTAATATAAATTAGAATAATGTATTACTTGTATTAAAAAAAAGTTAAAAGACAAAAAAAATTATTCTCGAGGAAATTAGGATTAGCATTTTTTTTCGTTTTAGAGTGAGCTGTCGATTTAGTCCATTAATTATCACCACAAAAAAAACTAGGTTCGAAAAATAGTTTACAGACCTAAATTTTACCCGGTAATAACTTAGGGACTCAATCGGCAGAAAGCCCAAGGTTTTAAAACTTGACCAGTACGACAGCGTATCTCCCGTTTAAAAAACCCTCCACGGCATCCAATCCTCCTTCGCCTTCACCAGTAGCAAGTTAACAGACAACTCCTCCCTCCACCGCCAAAATCCGTACCCTAGCGACTGACTCTCACGCTCAATGGACGCGCGTCGCGTCTCCCGCACCGTGATCGACCCCAAGGTCCGCCAAGTCGGGTTCTTCACCCCCAACGCCGAAGCCCCACCGGGTAGGACCCAGTCCGGCCCGGTAATCCCAGCCCCTTCTCTATCCGAATCTCCGGCCAGCAACTCCCTCTATCCCGTCATGATCCCCCCGTCGCGTCACCTTTCCGACACCGTCGCGATCCGTACGGCTGCCGTGCCGGTGCCGGATTCGGCGTTGCGGCGCAAGGAATCTGTCGACTTGCCGGTGGGAAGCTATAATCCGTCGGAGTCGTTGTTAGGGACGTCGCCGGTGTCAGCCTCGCCTTCGAGTCGCGTTGGGGATGGACTCGAATTCTCCGATGAGTCCTCTGCCCGTTGGTATCGGCGGAGTGGTTCCGGAAAGATGGCTTCGAGCTTGCCCGGCGGAGGATTCGAATCCGCCGCATCGAAGACGCCTGTTGAAGTTCCTGGTAATTTAATTGCATTGACAAATTGAATTTCAAGTTATTGCATTGGGGCCAAATTGAAATTTTGGATATTTGCATGAGTGCCTTGTGTAATTATTTGGTGATGTTTTGGTTTGTTTGCTAATTAGTTAAGGCTTGCAATTCCTTGCAGAAAAGAGTGGAGAGGCGGTTGCGGAATCGCAGAAGGAACTTCCGGCAAATGCAGAACCTTTGAAATCCAAGACCACAAAAGCAGAAAGACGTGCCTTGCAAGAGGCTCAACGCGCTGCAAAAGCCGCCGCTAAAGGTTTGAAAGCGATCCCTTTTTAATCCCGCAGTATTTTGCAGTGTAGCTGCTATTGCATGATTAACGTGTGTCGAAAAATCGAGTCACTTGCAAAAGATTTTTGTGAATTTAGATATGCCATAATTTGTATTGTCGCTCGAACTCAATTCGACGTGTTAATGATTGCTCAATTTCAATTGCGATCTCCCAAAGGAACGGCTGAATTTATGTTTAATTGCATACAGAATGTAAACATCATGTATAAAGTTCTACATTTTAACGAAAATTAAGTTAAAACAATTCTAATCATGTGTTTAGTACGAAATACTCATCTTTTTCTTTCGCTTTGGATTCTCGGTGTGTTTGGAGCTCCCTTAATACCATTGATATATTAACTGTTCTTATGGTTCCCCGACCTTGTAAAAATAAAGGTGAGGGGAAAAAACCTGCTGCTGTAACTGGGGGTGGCACTCCTGGTAAGACTGCTAAGTCTGCAAAGCAGTCTGTGCAAAAGAAGGATACTCCTCAAGTTCCGGCTTCGGTGGCTGCTTCTGATAAAAAAGGGGGTGATCGACCGCCAGATAAGGAAAGGAAGAAAGATGTTCCTCCTCCACGTATGCAGTTTGATGATAAAAGCCGAGTGGAGAAGGCAAAAAGGCGTGCGGTGGTCAATCAAATCGAAGCTAAAAACAGAGTTGAATTGTTCCGGCATTTGCCTCAGTTTGAGCGTGGAACTCAGCTTCCTGATCTTGAATCAAAAATTTTCCAACTTGATCCAATGCATCCTGCCATTTATAAGGTATTTGTTTTAGGAAACTAGTTATGTTGGTTCATCGTTTGTGGTTATGTGGTCAGGCTTTTATTGCAAAAAAGCAAATTAGTAATTCAAACCGTGAATATTCAATTTGTGATTAGATGAAACTGTTCTGAAATAAGGTCGACATAAGTAAGCTCACACACGCTCTTTGAATAAATTTGGTGTTGAGTTTTTGTTAAGAAATAACACGTGTCTCAAAAGCTTTCATTATATGTTTTTTTCATTTGCATGTTGCCTTTGCGCACACACTTTTTTCAGGGCATTTTGTGCACACACCTTTTTTAAAGGAGTTCCAGTATTTCTCTCATATTAAGGGTTAAGATCTTTTCTTTCTAGTGGTGAACATTTGATTAGTAATTTACTAGTAAAAAGATGTACTTGTTTTGGAACTTTTTCTCCTGTGTAAGCAAGCAAAATGTATGTCTACAGTTCACCCTTAGTACACAAGCTGCGGTTTATGCATATCTTGTTTCAAATTGCTAATTTCATCAGTACGTTGTTCTGTTGCCAACCTTTGCCCATTTGTGTCTAGGGATATCTATATTTTGTCTATTTTTCGTCTTCTCTTGTAGATTGATAAAATTTATCTGAGTGTGAAAAATAAAAGGAGTGGATGAACGTATCATTATAAATTATCACCTGCGTGGCTAATAACATAGATGTAATAATGGACATTTGTCAGGTTGGACTGAAGTATTTAGCTGGAGAAATATCGGGTGGTAATGCTCGTTGTATTGCAATGCTTCAAGCATTTCAAGAAGCCATTAGAGACTACTCCACACCACCAGAGAAAGTTCTTGTCAGAGATTTAACTGCAAAAGTCAGTAGTTATGTCTCATTTTTCACTCAATGCAGACCACTTTCAATTAGCATGGGAAATGCAGTTAGGTTTCTTAAGAGTCGTATTGCCAAATTGCCCTTGAGTCTTTCCGAGTCTGAAGCAAAATCTACACTTTGTTCAGAAATTGACCACTTTATAAATGAGAAGATAATACTTGCTGATAAGGTGATAGTTAGGCACGCTTCTACAAAGGTTAGGGATGGAGATGTTCTTCTCACTTATGGATCATCATGTGTTGTTGAGATGATTCTGCTATATGCCCATGATCTTGGGAAAAAGTTTCGTGTTGTGGTAGTAGACTCACGTCCAAAGCTTGAAGGCCAAGCATTACTTCATAGGCTGGTTGCAAAGGGCCTGAGTTGTACCTATACTCATGTAAATGCCGTGTCTTATATCATGCATGAAGTAACACGAGTATTTTTGGGTGCCGCCTCGGTATTAGCCAATGGAACTGTATATTCGAGAGTAGGAACTGCATGTGTTGCCATGGTTGCTCATGCGTTTTGTGTTCCAGTTTTGATCTGCTGTGAAGCTTATAAATTTCATGAAAGGGTACAGCTTGATTCAATTTGTTCTAACGAACTAGGTATGTTGTATGTGGCTCTGAGCTTATGTATTGATCTTGTTTCTTTTATTCCCCTTTTCTTTTCCCACTGAAGGTGATTAAGTAGCATTTTTGTAATCCTTGCAGGTGATCCACATGCTATTGCGAAGGTTCCTGGAAGAACGGATGTAAACTATCTAGATAATTGGGCGAATAAGGAAAATCTGCAGCTTCTGAATTTAATGTAAGCTTTCATATGGTTTGCTATACGAAACAACATCAGTTGGAATGATTCTTAATACACTTCTGGATGTGTAACAGGTACGATGCTACTCCATCAGATTATATATCTATGATCGTCACAGATTACGGCATGGTAAGTCATTTTTATGCTCCTACTTGAAACCGTGAAACAAGAAACTCAGTCGTTGTTCCTTTGTAATCTCTCCTTTCTTTTCTTGTTTCTTCATAATTCGTCTTCATCGTGTTGTTTTTTTTGTTTTACTGTAGATTCCACCCACAAGCGTGCCGGTCATTGTCCGCGAATATGGGAGAGAGCACTTGTGGTGATAGGGAACTCCGAAGTAGACTGACGACGGTGGATGAACAAAGTATTCACATGTTCTGCGGCAGGATTGTCTTGCAGGCGTGAGCGAATAAAACTCGATTTTTTGAACATTTAATTGGGAGATCCTGCGAAGCGAAACGTTAATGGTAAGCAAATGTTAAAGAGATGATGGTAGCCAGGAGGGTATAAAATTTTGTTGGTAAATACAACTCGGTGAAGAGCGCATTTTGTAGCCTCTCCTGACAGTTGTGGAGGTTTTGGTTTCTCGTATCATGTAGTTCTTCATTTGTCTACAAATTTTCGGAATAAATGTTTTTTATTAACCTGAATTTCTTTGGATAATTTAATTAATGGAAATTTCCTTGTGTATTTTTAATTGCATATACTATTTACTTCCCAAGGCGCTTTTTTTCCCAAGGTGCCCATATTGCAAATGTAATGCGAAACAAAACTAGCCTTTAAGCCGTTTCGAAATACTTTGCTGGGAATCACTTTTGCCTGTGTTTTTCTAACCTAAAAGCACTTTACCCTTTTCCTTAAAGAGTTGTCGGATATGCTTTTGATTTACGAGTTTGGATACTTTCTGGATCTTATTGTTTGGAGAATAACCCATTTTTTGGTCTTCCACCCCCTCAGTCACTATGAACGACCCCGATCAGTGCAATGGGATTTGTCTATTTATCTATCCACCCACCCCAAGTAAACCGGTGCCTTTTGTTGCACCAGGGGCCGTTGCGTTGGGTGCTTAAAGCATGACTAAGAAATCCAGACCTTTGATTTGTGTGAAAGGGAAATCTGAGCTCTTGATTTGTGCAAGATGGGCCAACGGAATGAGTTTATGAGAACCGTCGGATTCAATTTGAGTAGATTAAATTTCTTGATTATTGGGCTCTGGATAGTGAGATTCTGGAGTGGATATGTAACCTTCGGTTTACAGGCCGAATCACTTTGATTACAGTTTGTACGAGTAATGGGGGAAAAATAGAGGCAAAATTCTTCATATAAGTAGAATTAAAACAAATTTTTACTCTTTCGAATCATCAGATTACATTAGTATTTACAATAGTTTTAAACTGTACACGAAATTTTAGCCTAACATACAACAAAGCATTTCAAATGCCTAAAGATGCCAATTTTCCCCCTTTTAAGTGGTTTGGCATGCCAAGTTGACGGCATTTCAAGTCAATCACACGTTGCCATGTGTTTCCGTCAATGTTTCTGTTTCTTCTCAGAGCCATGAGCACTATTATCAGCAGCAGCAGCACTAGTTGCCAATTCCATCAACCGCTCAAAATCTATTTCAGTTGATTTGTACTTCATTTTCATCCCACTCTGAAGCCACGACCTTATGCAAAGGAGAGTTTGTGTGCTGCCGTGCGGCATACAGAATCGTTGCTTGTAAATTTCGTCACCTTTGGCACAAAATAGTTCTTCCGGCGCCACTGCAACTGCCTGCACAGCTAAGAAATCCCGAGCCATCAGAGAAAGCCGTGGATAGCGCATACTATTGACTTTCCACCACTCCAGAACATCTGTTGCTAGTGGAGCTGGAGGCTCCGACAGGTATTGAGTGAGCTCATCCGTTGCGCTGCTCATGTTTGCCCTTCGTTTCTTTCGTGCAATTTCCTCTGCAAACGAGACATTGCATCCCTCATCCATTTCTTGAGCACTGTATCCACCAGCTATGGATGGGAAATGGGTGGTCGAGTAGTTTCTGATGAAATGAGTTCTTGCTTCGTCAAGAAAATTATCCGAGTTGAGGCTTTCGGGAAATAGCTCTCCTTTGATTCGAGGATCAAGAATCGCTGTCATGTATATGATTATGTTGCAGACCTGGCTATTGTAACCTCTAACCTTTTCAGCCATTTCTTTAGCGGCATTCTTTAACGATTCTGGGTAAAGGTGAGAGTCTCTGCAAGCAGCAATTGTCTCGGAAATGTGATCCATAAAGAAAAGAACCAGCCCGACAGTGGGAAGCTTGTCTGTGCACATGTTGTTTGTGGTTTTGTAGAATGGTTCGAGATATCGGTGCACATGACTGACTGCATTCTTCTCTGCAGAGCTCAGCAGCATCCTACTGCCTAGTGTCTCATACTTCCTGATAACAGCATCCATGGACTTCGAAGCCTGCATAGAAAATAAACATCGCGGTCACTTAAATCCGCAATCAAAGTGACGAGAGAGAGAGAGAGCAAAGACTTTGTCCAAGATCAGGTAATTTCCTCATAGCATACCTTGCACACAATATCTAGCATCTGATAATTGCCACTCCACCGCGTTGATGTATCAAGCGGCATTTTCCAACAAAGTTCCTGGTAAGCTGCTGTGAATTCAGCAAAATCCTCTGCCATCTCCGCGGACGCGTTCAACCCCATTGCAAACTCTCGAATCTTTACGATCACCGGCTTTGTAGTTCTCAATCCATCGTTTATGATCAAGTTCAAAATATGAGCAGAACAGGGGATATAACAGAAGGGCCCGACTTTCTGACCATCCAGGTAAGCATGCATTGCACTCTGACTGTTATCATAGGTGCATGATAGGACTCTGTTCTCAATATTGTACGACCTAAGAACCTTCACCAGGGAGTGATAGATCTCGGCGCCACCACACGGGTAAGGTATGTGACAGATATCGAGCATCATCTTCTGGAAAGACCAACTCTCGTCGATCCAGTGGCATGTGACACTCATGTAACTAATTTCCTCATAGGAAGTCCAGAATTCAAGTGTGATAGAGACCTTCGAAGAAACTTGTTCGAGTGAAAGTCTTACTACTTCCTGCATACTCTGGAAAACTTCGTAAAATGTACTTCTGTACTCCTCGCTTGACCATAGTTGTACGGATGGATTTAAAAACTTGTACGAGTTTGCCACCCACTTCTCTTCCAATGTTGCCGGAGGCAAAGAAGCTAAGACGAGCCATTTAACAAGCAACCAGTTTATATGGTTGTAATCCAATTGGGATGCTTTTGATTGGGATTGAGGTTGATGTTTCCGGGCTACAATGGCGGATTGTGGTGCAGGACTGGTGACAACATCGCCCGACTTATCATAACCGGGATGGCGATTACTTAGGTGCCTTCCCAGATTACCTTCAACAACAAGGAAAAATGAATTAAAACAACCAAAACCTCAACCGAAGCATAAGCCATTCACAAACGATAATTCCGAAGACCTTGAGCTTCTTACAAATCAGGTAACCATAAAACTGCAGATCGATATGAATAATGATAAGAACAATAACAAGAACAGAAGTAACCACATTGTGGGCACAAAGAAATTACCAGTGGCAGTTGCAATGGAATAGCTTTGTCCACAAAACTTGCACCGGCGACTTTTTCCGTCAGAAGCTGTCTCGAAAAACTTGAGATAAACCGACGTCATAGTCTTCTTTCTGGGTTTGGTTGAAGGAGTAGAATTCCCCTGTTCCGAGGAGCCCAAACCGATATCCACCGGATCGACGATTGGAATCATCGCCATGTCCATCATTGATTTGGGTTCCACATCTAATCCACCAAGAAACCAAGAAACAAATCAAAATAAGCCCTTTCAGCAATCAGCTCATCAGCCCATCACATTGCAATCCAACAACAAAATATATGAATTTTATTTGAACTTTTTGAAATTCAGCTCAGAAACTCAATCCAACATACAGAAAGAGAGAATTTTAGCAACAAAAATGGAAAATTGGCGATTTGGGAAAGTACCTTTGAAGGTTTTGAAACCGCTGTTTGCAGCCCAGTCCATTTGATATGCTGCTGTTGCAGTTTGCAGCTGCCCAGCAAACCTGAAACTCAAAAAACCGATAAAGTTTAGGGCTTTTGGATTAAGGGCAGCTGCCCAAACAGTCCTTCACTCAGTGACTCGGTCACTCACTCACTCACTTACCTTGCTCTGAGTTAGGAGAGCAAGTCAGTCAGCAGCTTGAATCGAAGCGCCGATGAGAGAAAGAACTGAGGAGAGAGAGAGAGAGAGAAAAAAAAAAATGGAGGGAGATGGAAGTTGGAAGCAGATCGCGCCAAGAGTGAGCCGGATCGCAGCCGAGCGAGGAGAGAGAGACAGCGAAGATTGTGGAGTTGCAGAGCCGCGAGCGACGCCTGAGTCGTAGATCTAAAATCTAAAAATCTTCGACGGCTTACAAGAATAAACGCTCACTCGCTCAGACTCGAGAGAGAGAAAGAGAGAAAGAGAGAGAGAGAGGAGAGAGAGAGGGTGTTGAGGGCTCGGCTGCTTGGTTGCGGTGGGCTGCTGGCGGCTAAGTTGGGAGTGAATTGATGAGCCCCAGGCGGCCAGGCCCAAGCTTTTATGTATGGCTTCGGTTTCTGGCTCCACCAGCCCATTTTCAAATTTAACGTTCACTTTTCTCTTCTTCTATTTTTATTTGTAAAAGGAATTTAAATGTTTTTTTTTTAGATAATTGTTATTGGCACTTTAAAAATATTATTCTATACTTTAAACTTTTTATATTTAAAAAGAAAAATACACTCATGAGGAGTGTAGAATAAGATTTTTGGAATGCCAATAACACTTCCTTTTTTTTATATTTATTTGAACGATGTTCAAGTCTAATTTAATAAGAGGGAGGTCGAAGTTAGACTCATATAAGCACTATTTTAGTCAATTTGTCTACTTCTAAGTTTGTCATCAAACGTTCAATTTATATGGGGTAATTTGCACATTCTTAAAAGATCGTTTGGAAGTACTTTTAAAATAACTGAAAAGGTTAAAAAAAAGGTAATGTTAAGGAGACAAATTTTTTAAACTAAACGATATGGTTGTTGATGATTGGATTATTACTTAATCGTATATTGACGTGTTTATTTCCTATTAGTAAAACATCATTTGGTTTGCAAATTTTGATTAAAATTTTAGTCTCCCCAGCATTATCCTTAAAAAATGTTTTTGGGCTCCAAAAGCACTTGAAGTGTTTCATACAAGAAGTACTTACAGAAAGCACTTCAAGTGTTTTTTTTAAGGATTTTTTTTTACTAAAGATTGATTCTAAAAACAGTTTCACAAAAAATGTTTGTTTGTCATTTTAGAAGTACTTTCAAACGAGTTCTAAGATTCCATATTTTAACTTACTACGACAGTCTCTCGTTTAAGTTAATCCAAGCAAGAGACTTGTAGCTTTATTTATTTAATTTTTTATGAGTAAAGACTTGTAGCTTAATTAGTTACAAGTATACACATTTCTATTTGAGATCGTGAGTTTAATTTTCTCTATCTATTATCGCTTGTCTAAAAATAAAAGTTTAACTCCCTTGTTAAAATATATGTTTTCACATGGATTTCATTAGTGGCTAGCTTTAGGTACTACTGCAGGTTGCTCATGCAACAAAAATGAAAAGGGTATAAACAATCCTTGAAATTACACGAAAAATGACATTAATTAGATTTTATTGAAAACCAGAAAAAATTACTTCATCATGATCATGTCAGCTCCACTTAAACCTAATTCGTTTGTAAATTTGTGTGTGGGTCGGTCTGTGGGGAAGAATTTACATGCACTTCTCAGCATGTCACGATAGCATCACGAGCGGTCCATGCAAGTCTATTTTCGAAGTCAAGAGAAAAAAAACTATGCCATGCCAAATCGTGTCGTGCCCAAAATGGCTCAATCAGCTGAACCTGCTGCTGTGCATTTGAAATGAAATGTGTACATATTTGAGCTCTCTTTGATGAACTATGTATTTCTCCTACTCCTTGACTTCCTTGATTTCCAGATGATCGCATAAGGGTTTGGGCAGATTCTGTATGGAACTTTTGGTGGAGGAACATAGGGGACACTGCAATATATTCATGTACAAAACAAATATCCGTTAATTGTTACCTCAGTCGTTTTACAATGCCGTAAACTACACTTTGAAATGACAACTGTATCAACAATATCATAATCTTGACCCCACCACACCTGCGACATACAGTGTCTGCATTTTAAAAAGATGCAGTAAACCACATTATATGTATGTGCGTGTGTGCCACGGAGAGGTTGCTCATTTGTAACCAAAATGTCACAAATTCGAGTCATGAAAATAATCTTTTTGCAAAATAAGAATTAGGTTGCATACGATGGACGTCCCTCTCCCCCCCCCCCAATCATTCCAAAGCGGGGAGCCTTGTTGACATTTTGTGTGTGTGTGTGTGAGAAGCACGTAAAAAATTTAGATTTGAAATATTCTTACTGTAGTCCACCAATGTCAATCTGTGAAAAGTCCATGTTGTTGGTTGAACTGTCGAGGAGGGCTTGTGTGGCAGCTCCACTGGTGTTAGTACTGCTGGTCCTCTTGCTACTTAATGGGGATGAGGAAGGTGGTGGTTGCTTGACGGCCAGGACTCTGCAGTTCAAGTTGTTTGCAATACTAGTGCTGCTGTGGGACATTGCCAACCTACACACACACACACACAAGTAATACCTAATTAAAAATTAATCACTACCACATCATAGTTATTATCCAAGTCAACATGTTTATTATATATATTGTGCATGAAAATTGACAGCTTTAATATGAAAAGAATCATTTGTGAAGAACAAATAAAACAAGACAAACATCCAAAAATTCTGATGGGGAAATTAAGGGCCACATCTGTAATTGTAATTATAAAATGATTGAAAACTATCTAAAGATAAAATTGAGTTTTAACGAAACACTTCCGGTACTATTTACTTTTAACGAAAAACCACATTTTTACCTTTTTCTGGTATTATTCACTACACATTTACTTGTCATTTTTCATTAAAACTAAAAAAAAATTGGACTTCTCGTTAATTTTCCTAAGATAAAATTGTTCACATTCCTCAAGGAGTTGTTGAATTCAATTACAAAGGATCACCACCAACACAGTACATGAAGTTATAAAAAATTAGTATTCTCTCATTAATTAACAATTTAAAACTTGGCATTGTGTAAACAACATCATGTTAAGGGGGAGATTGAGGGGTAATTAGCTAAAATTAAAGTTAAAAGGAAGGTAAACAACCAATTATAAAAATTTAGTGGGTAATCGACTAAAATTAAAGTTAAGAGGAAAAATTTGCAGCTCCTTACAAATTTGAAGAGAAAATTAACGAATACCTTTTGGCTAATATATGATATATGCCAAAAGATGGACAAGTGGGTATAGTCTTCTTAAACTAAAAATCCAATGATTCTTCCTAAACCACATATTATGTCCAAAAGCCAAAAAGGCAATCTACAAAGAAAAATTAAATTCTTTTGTGTATATCTCTCTTTTCATATCATTTTTTACGAATGACATGAAAAGAAAAATATGCAAAAAGGAATATACAACTTATTGGACCAAAAATCTTTCTTCGATCTACCCCTATAGTGGAAGAAGTTTAGGAAAACCACGTTACTCGTCCGACCACATACAGAAAAAGCGACAGCCTCCTGTGTATAGGGTCTAGCACGAGTGTATGCAGGCTAGCTATTTTATTCCACCATCATGCCACATGCATAGCAACATCGATTGGTCAAACATGACTCAAATATTGAACCATATATGGTCCCATTCCCAACCCACTCCGACCCTGCTAGCTCTATCACACGCGCTACATATTAAATAAGACGTACAAGAAAGGAGTTGATGAGGCAATGAATAATTGGGGAAAGGGATCGTTTCTGGATCCTTCCACCAAATTATCCCCATTAATTAAATCGGATCATTGAAATTTGATTCAATAGTTAAACACATAAACTTATTTTAAAAATTATAATAATTTTAGCTGTTGGATCAAATTTCAAAGGCATGAATTAGTTGATGAAGAAGATTTGGTAGAAAAGATTTTGATCACTACCACATTAGTCTCACCCATTGTAAGAGCTACTCTTCCGAAGTCTCTCACCTTCCTATGAAGCTCACCTTATCTAATCTCATCTCAATTCCAAAATTGAATGCTTTGAATTATATCCATCAAAAACTTAATCCCATCGTGATCATCACAATGATTAAAATCAAACACATAATTACACAGATTAAAAACAAATGTTCTAATTAAACCAATAATCTCAGCAAACTTACCTGTAGAGAAAGCTGTGATCATGGAGTCCAAGAACAAGAGCGGAAGCCCCAGTCTCTCTGACCAAAGCTGCAATCTTTTTCCCATCTTGATCACCTTCTGTGACAATCATTTCAACCTTGGTCTGTAAATCATCATCATATACACTGGTAATTTGAACATACATATATATAATCAGCAACATTTAACTCGCACACATGTATACACAAATTGGTCAAAACGATCGTATTTCAAATCCGAATTCCTGAAATGATCAGTTTTCAGTACGTTGATCACTCATATTATAGCCCACATAAAATACGTACGTTGGGGAAGGTGTTGCAGATTTCTTTGAATGAGAGGGTCAACTGGAAGCCTTTCAAGCGGAGAAGCCTAGATTTGTTCCTGTTTCTGGATCTTGGGGTTGGAAACACATGGACCAGAGTTATCCAGTCTCCAAACCTAACCACGTTATGGAGTGCCCATCTCAGAGCAGTTCTTGCTGCTTCCACGTCTTCAACTACTACTACTATTCTCCTCACATCCATTACCGCCACCCACCTGCTCCTCTCTCTCTCTCTCTCTCTCTCTGTAGAAATAGATGCCAAAACTATCGAACCACACAGATTATTCATGACTTGTCTCTTTCTCGGTTTCTTTTAAGTGAGTTTGATAGACGCGTCAATCATCTTTCTTCCTTAACCACACTATTTAATTTGACAACTTTTACTCAGTTAATTTTTTTGTGCATAAATTAGAAGATGACAAGGCAAGCGATAATTTTTCGTGCAAGAATAACATGACAAGACAAGCAATAATGTTTATGCACAGTAATGTTGATTCGACCCCTGCTGATTTTTTTTAACATTTAATAATTTAATCTGTTAATACTGTCATTTATTAAGTAAAAATATTCCGTGCATCAATATGATCATTTCATGCTATTTAGATAAAATTTCACATAATCAAATATTTATATTTAAAAATATGAGAGTTTAATGAGTTAGATGGTAAAAATATGGTCCAATGTAATGCTTCTAGATTATTGGTTTAAGTTTCGTGTAATCAAATTTGTAACATTACGTAATAGTGTGACCTTTAATCCTAATCTTTTTTTTTCCAATATACGGAAACTTTATACTTCCATGAGTAAAAGAAATATTAATCTCTCTAGAAATAGATGGCAAATTAAATATTCTATATCCCAATTTTTTTTATTGGCTTTTCCCAGTTTAAAAATAGTATTTTACTTCAAGTCACCTTACATATTCCCCTTAACTATTTTACTGATTATTTTTTCATGATTTGATGAGATTTTGGGTACTAACCTAGATTTGTTTAGAACTTTGAAACTGGATCGTGCCAGTTAGTGCTTTTTGGAATCTGAAACCCAGAAAATTGGCATCTTATTTTCAAAACTTGAAAATTAAAACAATTTATCAATTTAAATTTAAACTTTCTTCCCCACCTTAACCATGTCAAAACTATGATCCACTTTTCCAGCAGTATTTCAAAATTTGAATTAATGATTAAAAAACAGAAACTCGGATACGAGCAAACCACCAAATATGTCGAGGGATCAAACAGAATTGACATATTCTTTCGGATATAATATTTGCCACCTAATTCACCTATTATTTTATATAATTTTATGACTATTAAGAACCCTAATCCTATATAATATGAATTATTTTTATGGAAAAAATAATAAAAAGTGTTTTTCTAGTTAACCCACTTGATGGATGCTTAGCTACACAAAATAACAAATTTACATAGCATTCCCCCTGGCCGATATATATTTTATTCATGCATGCACCATTTTGTAGGGTTTATACGGCACTCACGTTAAAAATTAAAAATTAAATTGGAAATGAAGTCATGGCTCATGGGGTCTTCGTCACATTGCTTTTTTAATCACAAAACGACCGAGAAAAATGGGTCGTGCCAACAGTTGATTCTGCTCTTGTGTCGTTGTGTCTTTGCATCTGTCTCTTTGTTCTGCTTCTTCTGTTTTGTGTGGTTCCAAGTGCGCCAAGAACAAGGTAGGGCAGCAACACTTGCTTTCCTAAAAGGGGTGTGCTATCCACACATCTTTTTTTACTTCTCACACACTCCTTATTAATTTATGTCCGTTGATTTTCTTCAATTCATACGATCCGATGGCCGAAAACCAAAAAGGTGTGGAAGAAGTAAAAAGGGGTGTGTGGATATCACACCCCTTCCTAAAATATGCATGATATTCATAACCCTAACTGCAACTCACCAGACAGAAATGTAGGAATATTTTTCTCACCATCCTTAAGTGATAGTAATGCTTATCATGTCATTTTGTATATCATCGTTAGATAAATTTAAATTTCGAAAGAATAGACACAAATCTTAAAATTTAAACTTATTCAACGATAATAAATAGAATGACGCGTAGTACCACCACTTGAGGTGGCAGGTGGTGAAAATGCACCCCAGAAATGTGTTTAAAACGAAAAAAAAAAAAGAAATCTATATCAGCAAACTGCCAAATCAGTTCAGTGTTTTGCATCTATCTATATTCAACTCTTTAACATGAAAGATTCATTTTTATTTTAGCCTCACACACATCATTATTATTAGGATCAATACTGTCCTTATTCCATATAGTAACATCAACGCCTTTAGATTTCCACCAAAAACAAAGAAGATTATTATTTTTTTTTTATAACCACAATTTACTTATGAGTTAATAGTGGCGGAGTCAGGACTTTAGTCTAGGAGAAGTATAAAAGTCTCGATCCAAAACACTTTCCTGATCTAAGGAAAATCAGTATGTGTTGTCTTGAGTCATCGAGAATTGTCGTTTGGGTTAGTATGGCGTCATGCGTCATCCTCATCATCCTCATTTTTAAACTCAAACCCCAAGCCAACATCAACCAGTAGCACGACTCTAATTGATTAAAAAGCCCACCCTTCTTTCCTTCTTTCTCTCCATCCACTGATCTCCACCCTCCTCAAAATTCACAAGCAACGAATTGCCTGAACTCCATAGGAGTCACCAACCTCAAATCAAACCCAGTGAAATAAATAAAAGGAAAATGTCAGATTAAAGCCCTAAACTTAAGGAAAAACTTTGAAATTCATAAGTATAACACTGACTTTTTAGCCTTAAAAAAATCATAATGGGCCTATGACCAACCTAGTCCCTTTATGACTTTGCCTCTCTGAGTTGCTGTGTATCTTAAACCGAATTAGCTACCAAAATTGATATGATTTTAGATACCATAGCTCATACACAATACCAATTTAGGCTAGGTATATGAGCAATAATGATTAGCTACCGAAAGATATACGCTTTTAGTTTCACGTATTTCTCTAAACAATTGAAAGGCCTTTTGGTGTCTAGAATTGACTTGAATTGAGTAAAGCATTAGATACAGTGAGCGTTGAACGATAAATAGATTTGCTTATTTTGTACGGAAAGGTAAAAAAAATGGATTAATCATGAAGAAAACTTTTCTTTTTTAATATCCACAAAGATGGTAGAATTCCAAGTGATTACTTTTCTTCACGACTAATACATTTTTTAAATCCAGCTTGGACAAAATATGCAAGTGGCATCCATCTTGTCAAGAACTTTCAACTTGTCGAACGTGATGTGATGAGTGATATGCTCACATGGAGATATACTCGAGGACATATGCGAAATAACCCGTGTCCATGCAAATTAGGCCTGGCCCATTTATCTTCTTCCTTTTACTTGGGTACACAAAAATAGGCCCAATTCAAAAATTGTCTTGGGCTTAAGTCTAAAACCCAAAAAAATCTTTCTGCCTCCAAAGCCCGAAAGGGTTTAAGCTTGCCCCAACCAAAACCCCTCAAAAGTCAAGGGAGGGAATAGAAATTTGCACCACCGAAACCATTTTCCTCTCAGCAAAAATGGCTTCCTCCTCCATGGCCACGCTCTCGAGGACGCTTTCTCGCTCTCTGCAAGCAAAGTCCCGGACTTTACTCTCCATGCGCTTCTACACCACCGGCGCCTCCTCCTCCAGCAGCGACAGCTCCGACTCGGACGAGTCCAACCCCCTCAACTCGGAGGCAGAGTCAGCCCCGGGCGACGCCCCCCCACAGCCGCCTCCGTCCGAGGAACCCAGTCGGAGAAACTTCATGTATGATAACCCGCTCGAGAACGGCCTCGACGCCGGCATTTATAAGGTACATTTCGATTCAATCGCACCGTTCCGATAGTTCAAAGTCTCAGAATTTACGGATTTAGGGTTTTGATCATGTGCATCTGCTGGTGTATATGTGCAGGCGATTCTGGTCGGGCAGGTGGGGCAGAGTCCGTTGCAGAAGAAGCTGAGGAGCGGGACCACCGTCACCATGTTTTCGGTTGGAACCGGCGGGATTCGAAACAACCGGCGGCCGTTGGATAATGAGGACCCGGTGGAGTATGCGAACCGCTGCAACGTCCAGTGGCACCGGGTTTGCGTTTATCCGGACCGGCTTAGCATGATTGCCATGAAGAATGTTGTGCCTGGGTGAGAGGTTTTTTCTTCACCTTGTTATCATGTTCCAATTTGTGTTACCTTTTCTGATTGTATATGATATATGACCAATATTTACGAAGCAGATCGTGTTTTCCGAAAAAAGGATGAATCGTTTTTGTACAATTGTGTGTAAAATGGATTATTGGACTAGCTTTTAAGTGATTAGGGAGATTTGCTGGTGCCTTTTGTATAATGGAGACTAGGAAAATTCTTGATATTGGCAGAAATTGGAAGGTTTATGAGAAATTTTCGGTATTTGATTCGAAATGGAACGTTAGGGAGTAAGTACGGTTTGCCGGAATCAGTTGAATTTGTAACGTGGTGACCAGGTAGAGATGTATAGAGGGAGAGGGAATTAGTGTCTTTTGGGATGCATCAAATTGATGGAAGAAGAGTTGTTTGAGTTGCCCTAATTCTGGACGTGATGTAAACTGAAAGTTGCTTGGTTGGTTCGGGGTCTCGTTGGTTGAAGGAAAGATGGCAACAGGGGAGAGGAAAGTAAATAACAGATTCGTTGGCTTCCGGTTTAAAGTTGCAGTTTAATAGCATTCTGGTTTGTCATTGCAAAGTATGTTTCTGTTTTTGCGTTCGCAGTAATTTGTCATAACTTAACTCCGCTGCTTCTTTCTTATCACGATCATGGCCTCCTTCCTAAAGTCCAGAACTTTGGTTTTGTTATTTGGAGTTATAATCGTTTCTGCAACTGGCGATAACATATTGAAATTTGATACGTTGCAGTTCGATTCTATATTTGGAAGGTAATCTGGAGACCAAAATCTTCACTGATCCGGTTAGTGGTCTTGTTCGACGAGTTAGAGAGATTGCTGTTCGCAGAAACGGTATGTACTTGTCTATTTAAAATTGTATACTGAACCTAAATATCTATATTTTTTGCTTCTCATCATGTTGATATATTCTAGGGAACTTTAACGAAAAGCTCCCGTTACTGTTTACTTTAACTTAAAACCACATTTTTGCATTAAAAAATCAGTCCTGATACTATTCATTTTACCCTTTATTTTGTTCTTATCGTTAAAACTCAAAGTTTGCAAGTCATTTTCATTAGTTTTTCTTATATTCTATTGCCTGTAATTCGCAGGTCGGCTTGTGTTTTTGGGTAAAGGTGATGGTGCCGAGCAATCACCAAAATGGGGGCTCAAACGTGTTGGCTACTACTAAAAAGCTTTGTTTCAACTTTTAAGCTGTAAGATTTGTTCGACGAAAGTCCAATTTTTTTCCCTTGTAAGTAACGTTCTGTTGCATATCGAGTGGTTGAGATTGAGACTCAGGAGAAGGAAAGATCAATGCTGATTGAGTTTTCTTGTTCCAAACAAAGCCGTTACACTTCTAAATCCGAGTCAACAGTTGTCTCTCTTTTTAATTCGGTTTTTTGACGTGCTCAGAATTATCGGAAGTTAATTTGTTCATCGTTTTGTAGTGTTGCTTGTGTGTTTACATTGCATTCTTTTTACAAGACGGTATTCTGAGCTACTATAATTTACGGATAAGAAAATTGAACATAGATGCAATGAACAAGCAGCAGAAACTTCACACACTGCTGCTACTTGCATTGATAGAATCCCGACTGAGTGTGCATTTCTTGATACATCCGTCGACGGAGAACCTGTTGGTCGGTAAGTAATCGGGCTACTTGAAGACGATGCCCCGGTTGGAGCTGCTAGATTTGGTAGTCTTGCCAGTGGTGCTTCTGGCACTAGCTATAGAAGGAAAGAGTTCGTTAATGTTATGCCCAGCTACGTTCAGCACGGCAGAGAAGGATCCTTCGTTGCGCCTGCTGAGCTCGCAAAGAAGACAGGAAGCAATTTGGAAGTCGTTTGTCTCAATGAACATGTGCGCGGACATCAGTACATCAAAATCTTGTAGCAGTCTTAAATCAATTTATATCCCTCAAAACTTCAATTGCTGTGTTTATCAAAATCGTAACAACGCTGCGGTTTATCGCTCGAGCTGCACTCGAGCGATACAGGAATGTCGCACTCTAATCTCGTATATACAACATTTTTATGCTCTCGAGTGGGACTAATGCCACGAGAGGGACTTTCGAATGGAGACGTTACAGTCTAACCTCTCTAACATCGGCCAATCCTGGACCTGCTTGGCAACAAAAAAGTCACTCATCTATTGTTCAGAAGTTCGAGTTGTTAAAACAGTTGGCTTCGTTCTTTTCGGAGATGGAGACGTGAAAAGATTTCTAATTGAAGTGATAGGGTCATCAACCTGCATGATTGATCACAATATCAAATGATGATTCTCTTCAGAAACCAAACCGAAATATACGTGTAAGAACACAGACAGGCTACAATCGTGCAAATATGTGTGTGTCCTATATTACGATGGGAACTGGAACTAGAAGTGCCAGTCTGGTAGGGCAAAAGGGAGATATTGATGAGTTCCAAAACATAGGCTGAGACAGGCGCTGCCCATCTCAATCAACAAGTAGTTGCACAAGGTACTATTTAGTATTTAGAACCCTAGCATGTCACTAGGACAGTAGAAGTGGGCTTCAGAAATACCTTAATTATGGATGCAGATGAAGGAGAGCCGCCTTCCTGACGTTGTAAAGCAGATAGTGTTTGTTTCCATCCAGGTGCCCCATTACCCGTTGATGCAATCCAAGGGCAGAAATATCTGTGCTGCCTGATAGGATCAAACTCCATCATGCTACCCGGCACTACATGCTTTAGGTCCTTCCCTGGAAGAATAGACAAAGCAAACTATTAAAACCTAGTTTGATATCATAGGCGAATTCTATCACTGACAAGAGAGTAAGAGAGGGCGCATTTGCATAGAAATATAGGCTGCTAACGTCATTTTTTACTATAAAATTTACACCAATTATCAGCTTGAGGTTAGAGTTGGACCGAATATAACAGATGGAAAAGCTATATAGTTTACTTTAATGATTGCATTCAACAAGAAAGCAATAAATATTGCTTACCACTACTGCAGGCCACAAGTTCACCGTTTGCAGGAATCTGCACTGTGTCTTCACTAGCCTCTTGGTTTGAGGTGGGTTCGGGATCAGTTCTGGAGCTGTTAAGATCTGCATTGGCTTCAAAGCTAGATGGAACACTAGTAGACTCGTGTTCTTCACTGTGCTCTACAATGGTTCCTGAATGTAACAAATCTCCCTTGCTAGAAACCATCACAAGTGGATCACTTTTGTCCATTTCACCATTTAAATGTGTGGCGTTTGCATCAGGGGTTCCAGGGCCACACACTTCTGAATTCTCCAGTCCACCATTTTCTGCATTTTCTTGGTAGTGATTTTCCTCTTTCTCCATCTGGGTATCAGATTGCATACCTTCCTGGCCAACGGACAAACAATCTCTCAATTCAGAATCATATGAAATCCGAGCCCTTAAATTTCGACCAATAACAGGTATCGAAATTATTGCTTTGAAGTTCTGATTTGTAGGTGGAGGACCCCCTGCAATTGTCAATTTTAAATTTGCGAATCTGTCCTTTGACAATGTTGCACCATCTACGCCAGCATTTAAAACATCTATCCTACTGTCACAGTGACTTTCAGCGTTTGAATCATGGGTTCCAGAATGACTTTCAGAGTTTACTTCTGCATATCCAACTAATCTGAAACATTCCACAGGCCGTGGAACAGTAGAGAATGCCCATAATCCAACACTGGCTCCACAAAGCTTGCAGTCTAAAACAACAGAATCGTGTTCAGCCTGTATATTGGTACAAGCACTAGCGTTTTTGTGTTCATCATTACTAGCAGAGTGCACACTGATGCTCGGATTTTGTCTGTTGGTAGCTGAATGATTCAGTCTGTTCCCAGAATCAACAACGTAAGGTAGTAAACGAGGTTCCCAGCCACATAAACTTATGAGCTTTTGTGCCTGCAAAAAAAAAAGCTTTAAAACGTCATTGGTCTACATGAAGAAAGCAAGAATGCTAGAAACTGATAAGACAGACTTCTAAAAACGATTCCAAAAGTGTGAAGAATTAGAGTCAGAAGATATGAAACAGTGATGCACAAATACATTCAAATGAAGATGTACATGAAAAGGCGTGCAACTAAACAGGTGCATACCTGATAATATAACTTGGCAGAATCTGCATTGCCTTCATTGTCAGAATGTTCTGTTCTAGAAATGTCTCCAGACCCATTGCCATAAAACATCGAAGACTGTCCAAGAAATTGCTCGAGCTGAGGACTCTTCATGTACTCAATGGCTGAAGAAGAAATCACCGGGAGAACTGAGAGTTCTAAAAGGGCATAGCAGCGTTCTCTAAACTTATCAACTAAAACTGGAGGTGGCGTAGGTGGAAACTCTGCCAGTGTTTCAACACATGCGTTGTCAATCCATGGACAAAGTATCTTATGCCCATTGTCCAGCTTTAAACTAAACACCAAAGCTGCCTTCTCAACTGGAAAACACAGGAAATAGGTTAACTTTACTTTGAACATAAGATAATTACAATGTATGGCTACTTAATTTTACATCATGGGTTTAATTGGTGGGAGATTTAACATAAACAGAAACATAACATGCCTTGCTGCTGATTCCAAGACGACGGAGTAGAAAAGAAGAGGCGTGCCCCGCATGATTCACATGCTAATATATCTGCATCCACATTGATCCAGCCTCTTCTGGCACAATTTAAAGCACTCACCACCTGTTCAAAATCGGCGAAATTATTGTTTGTGCATCCAAAAAAATTAAACCTTTGTATTATACAACGGCTCCACTGCAAACGAAACATAACAAAACAACAAAGACAGAACCAGGAGCTCATTTCCAGACCGCATTATTTGCCTATTCGGAGCTACTTTTGTAAGGTAACGAGTAAACACTAACATTACAAAACATGTTATATTGGAAGACAGGATTCTAACCTTAGGCTTGGCAAACCAAGTCATGGACTTGAATGTAGCTACCCTCCTCATAAGATCCCCACGGTCCCACGGCCTACACAGCGGAGCATGAGCCGCCACAGCCGGAGCTGAAAAATGCCGGGAGACCTCCATTCTATCGCCTCTCGATTTCGGTTCCACCAGTGCCAATGCGGATGAGGGATTTGCTCGCTTTTTGCCTCTCGAAGTTTGTACGCCAGATGAACTTTAGCAAAAAAAAAAAGTGATTTGATATCAAAGAAATTCCATGATTTGGCCACTAATTACATCAAAATTTCCATAAAATCCGAATAAAAAGAAAATCGATTTATCGTAATTTTATTCAAGCACTTGATAATTATGTTTGTACATAAGCAGAATCGAACTCTAACAAGTATAAAAATCCTACTTGCAGCATTTTCTCGGGAAACAAACGGAAAACGAGCGTGAAAATTAAGGGCGAAATTGAAAATAAATATAATATATATATATATAACAAACCTGGAAGCGGAGCTGGGCGCAGATTTGGGAGCGAAAAATAGCTTGTCCATGATCAAGTGGAACTTTTTCTCTGAATCTTTCGACATTTTTTTTATTTCTTCTCTCTCTTTTTCCCAGAAGAAACTATGAAATGCGTTCAGAGCTCAGAACCTAGCAAGCGCAAAGCGCCGTGAGGTACGACGTCGTTTGACGCTGGGGTGAATTAGCGGTAATTGACTCCTTGGGTCTGCTAAAACTTGGTCCTATTCAACAGGATTTGGCCCGTGATGGCTAGGGCAAAGCTGACGATCCGATGAAGTGAAAAAAGCGTAATTAGATCAATGGTCTTTCAATTACTGTACGAGCTGACGATACATTTGTTAATTTTCGGACTCCAGAAGCTAATATTGAATTTAGAAGCAAAACGCAACTCATGGATTAATTTAGAAGCTAATATTGCTGGTTTGAACGATGAGAAATGCATTCATGTCTCATCCGACACAACTTCTTGTCATCACTATACTATGTATTTTACCTCACTTCCGTACTTCTTTTTTCGAACGATATTCTAAAATATTCTATATTCCACATATCCGGAATTTTGAACTGAGGTAAGAAAGCTAGTTTCACTCAACAACCTGATCACCTCAGCTGCCATTTGAAAAACATTTGTACCAAGTCAAAGATAGAGAGATAAGGGTTTTGTTTTCCTCAAACGGCTACATCCACCTCCACTTTTTACTCCCAAAGAATCCTCACTTTTTACCCACCCTCAGTAAAAAAAACTAATTATCCATTTACTGTAGCCTCACCTCTTTTTACCTCCCGCACAGTATAAATTGCAGTGCTCCCTCTCACATCCATCAAATTATACTGCTCGTTTTGTTCTTGATAGGAAAAGAGTGAGCTCCCTGCACAATCCAAATGGAAACCTCCAAAGTATTTCTCTTCTTTCTTCTTCTTCTTTCTACCTTCCAAGTCCTTTTTGTATCTTGTACCAAATTTGAAGTTGGAGGCAAGAGTGGATGGGAGGTCCCGAAATCGAAGAGCCAACAAATGTACAACGAATGGGCGTCGAAAAACCGGTTCAAGGTCGACGACACTCTATGTAAGTCACTCTTCAGCAACGTCAAGAAAAAATAACGATAGTCACTGTTATTAGTTGAATAGAATAAGATGATTAAAATATTTGTCGTATCAGAGGCTAATGGGACGGATAAAGACAAATCAGTCGCTGATGCATCTTTTATCCACTCCATTTTGTGCAACTAATATCAATAGCTATTGTCGGGTTTTCTTCTATCGAAATTAAAAACTTCTTGCCTATGTGTAAGTAACATTTTGCTATGTTTTGTTTCATGGACTAAGCTTTCAATTACACGAAGGACTCGGTGGTGGTGGTGACCAAGGACGAGTACGAAAAATGCCACTCTGCTCATCCCATCTTCTTCTCCAACAATGGTGCAACTACGTTCACACTGGACCGGCCCGGTTTGTTCTACTTCATCAGCGGAGTTGCCGGGCACTGCGAGAGAGGGCAGAAGATGATCATCAAGGTCTTGGAACCGGCAAGCCCGCCTAAGTCTGCTGATCAGAACTCGACGGACCCGTCGCAGACGAAGCATGGTTCGGGTGCAATGGCCGCCATCTCCTCCGCAACAACTCTTGTGTTCTGCTTTGTGTCATTTGTTGTGGTCTTTTTCTTCTAGTTGCAGTGATATGTGATGGTTTTTAATGTTCTGTGTTTTTCCGTACCCCTAGTCTGATTTGCGTCTTGAGAAGAGATTATCCCGATCTATTCCACTAAGACCACCGGATCAAGTGATCCGGGCATTTGAAATTTAATCAAACGGTCAAAAATTATTATAGCTTTTAACGAGTCAAAACAAATGAACCGTTGGATGAAATTTCAAAAGCCCGAATCACTTGACCTAATGACCTTGGTGGAAGAGATCCGGAGCATTGGGTCTTTTGAGATTTAAAGAGTGTAGACTGAAACTAATTTGGATTATGAATTTCAATTTCTTTAAGTGTGATAATTTTTCTATAGATTAGTATAAATTGGGATGGATACCTGAATCATTATCACTTTTTTTGTTTTTGAGGGATGGTTTCGTCATGACATTCCATCTTTTCGGGGGCCGTAAAGACTCACAAAGATCTTTTTAACTTCTCAAGTCACCATTGTGTGATTTACTAACGCTATAAAAATTAAGAGAATTTAGACCTGAAATGCAATGAGTTGGAGAGAAAAGCCATAATCGAAGACTTGAAACTGAACTTCAAAACTTAAAAGGGCAGTAAGTCCACACTATCTAAACTAAGAAATATATATCATTCGGAATTTTTCAACTCAAGACCAACGTTAAACGTTTTCACGAGTCACTACTCGTTTGGATGTACTTCTAAAATAATTGAACCAATCTTAGATAAAAGTGCAGGCCAATTCTAAAAAAAGGACTTGAAGGGTTTTCAAGGAGAAGCAGCACCAGTTCCTAGAGGCTAGAAGCACTTTAGTACCTTTGAAAGCCAAATTTTTTTCTCTAAAAACACTTCCAAACGAGCCCTAAGTCGATAAAAAAAAACCAAAAGAAATCTTATAATTTACCGCACAGAAAAATCAAACGATTCTGGGATTGCAATTTTAATTGATATTATCATAACATGCCAAAGACAAATCCATGTCTAAAAACTTCAATTTTAATTTACACAGCAAAAACCATGGAAGACGAAGCACACTGAAGCCATCGATCAAAATTTGCGTTTTACAGTCTCAGATTCGGCTTCAACGCCTCAGTAGAAGATGACAAAACTGTTGCAAGGGAGAAGAAAGAAGCAGAATTGCTGCACACACAAGGCTCCTCTAGTGCCTTACAAATTGTCTATCGTCTCCGCCCTTTCGATTGCCGTAAGGATTGCTCTCGCTGAATCCATTTCGACTTGCTTCTTTATGCGTCTTTTTCTTGAACTTTGATTTGTTGCTGTCTAGGTTCAAATGCACCTTGGGTGGATTAGAAAAGCAAAACGAAGCTGCAACCGCCTGTCCAATTGCAACAAACAATGAGATATCAGGGCGGATAATCTGTGTTTCCTTACGAAAATCTCTTATCTTTACACAGTAAAGGTCAAGATGAAACGATAAATAACTTGATATCGAGAAAAAGAGGGGTACCTGCAGATCAAGCCGGTGTACATTAAAGATGTCCTTCATAGAGTGTGAATTATATGCTAATAGATAAGATGTATACGCCTCTTTTGCTGATTTATTTAGGTAGTAATTGTTTTGAACCATCTCCTCCTGCATCAGTCGAAGCAATACTTAAATTTCCTTGGGACTAGTTATTGCGTGACAATGAAAAACAATTGAACAAGAAATTACCAGTTTAGACTGCACATTCTTCAGCTTCTTTTCATTAAAATCGTAGGGTTTAACGGGGACATTTGCAGCCTGGAAACAAGAACGAAGATGGATTGAAATGGAGAAAAAGCACCACACCGCAGATTGAAAAACTAAACGAAAGCTAGATATTGTTTACTTTACATACAACCTTCTGTAAAACATTTTAGCTGCAAATCATACCTTCAAATAGCGAATGAATTGCAACTCTTCAGGAATGAGGAAAAGTAGTGCCTTTCCTTTTGCACCTTCCCCTCGAGCTGTTCGACCAACCCTATGGATATATTCCTGCAGGCATATATCCCATGATACACTGTTATTCATCATCAACAAAGAATCACCAGATACTAAAACTACTAGAAATCTGTTAGAAAGAAGGAATAATAGATACCGTCGGTTCATCTGGAGGATCAAACTGCAAAATCCAGTCCTACAAGCAAAGAAAAGAAAGCAGCACAAGATTATTGTGAGCATAATGTAGATATTGCTAATAGGATAAAGAGGAGGGGACGAGGGAGATGTCTGGGAAGAGGCTGATAGATCAAGATGAATGTTGCCTTTGTGGTGAAATGAATAAACGTACTCATTGTGGTACGTAACATAATTGAATGATGGAAAAATAAAGGTAAACATAATTTTCGTGAGTTTCGGCCTGCTACAGAAAGGAAAAGGAAATTTACCACAGCAGGAATATCTAGTCCACGAGCAGCAACATCAGTACAAAGTAAGATTCCTTTCTCTGCTTTGCAAAAGTCAAAGAAAGTAGTTGTCCTCTTCTGCTGCTTTTGCTTTCCATGGATATCAAAGCAATCCACATTAACGTATCTAAGAAGTTCGGAGTGGAATTTCACTGAGTTACAAGACGAGAAGAAGACCATAACTTTCTTAGACGTATTCTTTGTCAGGAAAGAATATAAGAGTAGAAATCTCTTAGCACTTGGCACAACACAATAGCCTTGTTCCAGCCCTTCATTGGTGACCTACAGTGCACACAATCTCGTCAGATTCTACTGATTAGGGCTAAATCACAAGAAATAAAAATTTTGGATAGAGTAGAAAGTCAACTTAAATTCATAACATATATGCACATTCAACGAATATGGAATGAGGGAAAACATAATCAAACAGGATTCCTACCTTTGACCTCCCCTCATCCACATCAACGTAGATAGGTTTCTGATCTTTTCGAAACGACAACTTAACAAGATCTTCAACCTATAGGTTTACCAGGAAAAGTGTTATCAGAACTAAGCACTCGTGTAACAAATGGGTGCACAAAGATGTGTAAGACTCAAAGAAAAAAAAGTTAGAGAACAATTGAACTGTGTTTAAGCCAAGACATTTAAAAACAATGCAGAAAGCAAGATATTGGCTACTATGCAATAAGGATACGATACACTGACCTTTTTAGTTTGGGTTGCTGAAAATAAAGCTGTTTGCCTATCCTGCACATCCATTAGCAATTCAATAAGCCAATGCACATTACCACATAAAACTCAAGTTGAAATAGCACCTAAACCCTAAAACTAAAGCATCCAGGCCGATTTCTGATAAAATCAGACTTAACTAACCAAACTTCAAGCTTCTCTTATAAAAAAAAAAACAGAAGCATATGTTGCTAGATACATGATACATCTAAGGATTGCAGCCTTGAGTCTTTGTCACACGAAGGTAGAAAACTAAATAAGTTTACCTTTGGCAGAATCTTGACAATCTGTTTCATTTCCTCCTCAAAGTTTGCTTCCAATAACCTGTCAGCTTCATCAATCACAAGGCACTGCAAGTCCAGGACAACAATGAAATTAAAGATTGTGAAATTTCTGTGATGTCATGATGCGCTACATCTCAATCAAAGATATCCAGCTTAACCACACCAAGAAGCTAATTCTTTTCTCTAACATAACAACAAACCGCAATAGGATCCAAAAATACAATTCAATATTTCAGTAAAAGGACTAACAACCACAGCAGAATATTCTGAAGTCACGGAAACAGTAGGTAGAATTTGCTTCGAATCAGAATGTCAGCTGTAGAATCAGAATCATTTCACAAAAGAACCACTAGAAAATCTTTAGGAAGAACTAAAACAATATTCCCGAAGAATAGATGTGAGCATGTGAGGTACCTTCAAGTTCTTATATATGAATCCTTTGGTATTCTGAAGATGGTCAAGAAGTCGACCAGGGGTTGCAACCAATAAATTTACTCCTTTTACAATACGTTCTGCTTCCCCTCTCCTAGCTGAACCTCCAATTACCAAGCCAAGAGTCTGAGAGTGATACTTTAGAAGGTCCTTTGCCACAGCATGGGTCTGAATTAATTGGAAAGGAGAAATAGTCAGCGACGAATGAAGGGGTTCAAATGTAAATCTCACAATGCGATGTCATAAAAAATCTCTTGAACTGGAGCTAGCTCCATCATGCTATTGGAAAAAAATCCAACATACTCATACAAAAAACAACAATTTGCTGGGGTTTTCACCTGTATCGCAAGTTCCCGTGTTGGGCAAATCACAACAACACCCATTCCATTACGAGGAGCAAAATGTGTGTTATATAGCAGCTCCACAGCTGGTATTAGAAAAGCAAGAGTTTTGCCAGACCCTGTCCTTGCAGCTCCGAGGACATCTTTCCCGATCAAAAGCGGGGGGATTGCTCTAGCTTGAATCTGCATTCGTAATAAATTGTAAACTCAACTCATCCCAAATCATCATCAACTTTTCCAACTAGGTATCTCAACGAATACACACATTTCTCAGCAAGTACAAACCCCAAAATTCTCTTAAGTTACTAAGTTCTCGCTTGGAATATAAACAGACTTAAAATCCCAATTCCTCAAATCATTAGAGACTAGAAATCCCACAAAAAATTAAGCTAGAAGTTACCAAAATCGAATTCGAAACGGAAAATTACCTGAGTCATATACTGAAACTTCATTTCTTCAATGGCCTTGTAAGTGTTCTCAGACAAATTCAACGAAGCAAACGACTCCGTGCTCATAATCCCAGTCCCTCCGCCGCCACTCCTCACCTTCTTCTTCTCCTCCTCTTCCTCCTCCTCCATTGCTTCTTCCCCCTCCTCCTCTTCTTCCTCTTCGTCCTCCACAGGGCTCTGAGCCTCCGGTTCCTCTCCCTTCAATTTCTTCACCTTCTTCCTCTTCTTCTCGCTCTCGCCCTTAGCCTGTTCCCCCTTAGTATTTTCGGGCTCCGTACCCGCCGATTCCGACGGTTTCTTCGCTCTGTTTCTCTTGCGCTTCTTCTTCTTCGTCTCGTCCTCCTGCGGCGCGTGAAGGTTTTGGTCTGTCATGGCGACAGGTTCTCTAACGAATTAGGGTTTTACAGTTTCAGGAGGCGCAGAGGAAGAAGACGAGCTTTCTCTCGTGGTGGTGAGGGGGATGGTAGCTGTGAAGATTTTTCAGTAGGGTTTGGGCGTTATTTGTTAAACCCTAGCTGCAACTGTACTCGCTCGACTCGAACGAGTCCACCCAAATTATGAATGCTTGGTTCAAACAGGCTCAAACCCAAAAGTCCTGGGCCTCAGGCCTGTTACTATTACTAGTAATTTGGGCCTCACTTGGGTTAAACTTTCCATGTTTTGAAGCAAAGTGGCCCAACAAAAGCACTTGAACTAAAAT